GTCGGTCGCGGCCCGGATAGCTCAGTGGTAACGTCTCTGATTGTTAAACTGGGTGACACGGGATCGAATCCGTCAGGGTGCATCAGCCCCTCAAGATCACAGGTACACCTTGCTGACGAATTCTAAGTAGCACGAAACCTAGGTTCACGGTTTCCTGTTAACTACCTCCAACCACCATCTTATCATAACATAGTGCACGCGATGTCGAATCACCTAGACTGATGGCCACATCGATACCTGACCGTAGCTGCTACCTTGACACGGTGGTCGGGCTTTCCTATCGTGATGACCCAACCGAGCTATATTGGCTGGAACATATGTTCCTGTAGGTTCTACCATGCCAGGCAGGTCGATTGGAGAACGGTAAGGCTAAAAGCAGCAACTCAAGGTCTGAGGGCGAAGTCGTACTGCTGACTGTAGAGGGGTGTGACAGGAGTAAGGTGTTTCCCTCGGACAACCAGCATCTGCAGCGGTGCCGCCTCACAAGGAAGGGTGGGGTTAGAAAAGGTCGACCCTAAAAATGTCACACCTCACGGATTTCCGTTTCCGGCGGTAAGGCCCTTTGAAGAACGGAGCTAACACATTAAAAACCTTTCACGAAAAGGCCGTGCGCGACCGGCCTCAAGCAGTTGTCCCTTGGGCTCTGCGGTCACGCTCCCAGGTCGTCAAGACCAACACTAATCCAATTTCCTTTTCAGGTTCCTCAAGAAATACCCTTCCACGGTGTGGGCAGCCGGGAAGTGACATCAGCCCTCATACCCGTAACAGCACAAGAGACCAAGGTGGTCACATTCAAATCCTTCCTACACCTCCTAATACCTCTCTTATCCTCCCGACTAACCCTCCTCACGTCTCTTTATCACCTCGCACCGCTAGGGCAAACGATTCGAGTACGTGGAACGCCATTCCTGGTGTCCTGAAACCACGCTCTAAGCTACACGTAGGAGCTTTTAACGTACGAATACTTTGGCAAATAGGACAGCAGGCTTCCTTAGCTAAAACTTTAGAATCTCGCGCCATCGATGTGTGCTGCGTCTCCGAAACGCGCATACAGGATCCAAGTAGCGTCATTCATTTGACCTCACCATGCCAAAATAAAGAACCGACTCGATTTGCGCTTCGTGTATCTGGAAGCCCTAATTCTCCTTCCCGTGGCCTCGCTGGCGTAGGTGTAGTATTGAGTTCTAGAGCAGAACTAGCTCTCTTAGAGTGGATCCCAGTAGACAGTCGTTTGTGCGCTGTCCGACTAAACCGAACAGTAAGGACTCGGAAAGATAGGGACACTCGTCGTTGCCTGTTCGTCGTCTCTGCCTATTCTCCCACTGACTGCAGCTCAGATGATGTAAAGGATGAGTTTTACAGAAAGCTCTCCGACCTTTTCCGAAAAGCTAGGCCCTCTGATGTAGTAATAGTGGCTGGTGACTTTAATGCTCAAGTAAGTAAACTAAGCGAAAGGGAAAGACACCTGGGTGGATCTTATAGCGTCGTGGCTCAACGAACAGATAATGGCGACCGTCTGTTGCAGCTATGCTTAGATAACCGCCTCTTTCTTGCAAATACTAACTTTAAGCATAAGGAAAAACATCTTTTAACATGGAGACCCCCTAATTCGTCCCAATGTTGGACGCAAATAGATCACATAGCTATCAGCCACCGATGGAGAGGCTCGATAGAAGACTGTCGCTCATTCTGGAGCACATGCTTAGATTCAGATCATGCTCTTGTGCGAGCGCGTATTTGCTTGCGTCTTACTGGACGTAGGAAAGACGCTGCAAGGAAACCTCTTAGGGTCCTACTTAATGATAGTCAAGCTAAGAGTATATTCCAGGAACAACTAGAAAAACAGTTAGACAGTCATGTATGTGATGCCCACCCCGAGGCAGCATGGAATGATATCAAAATAGCTGTGGAAACAGCAGTGATATCAGCTAGTACGATAAACCACAAGGTTAGGGTGGAACACTGGGTCTCAACAGCATCTACTGCACTGATAGATGCTCGAAAACTCATTCCATCTGGCCCTAAACATGACGAAGAGCGGAGTCAGCTTAAGCGCAAGCTGATAAGAAGCCTACGCAACGATCGTGAACAGTGGTGGGTAGTGAAAGTAATAGAAATGGAATAGGTAGCGGCAATCGGTAATAGCAGACAATTGTTCAAACTTGTTAAGGAAACCGGTATTAAAAAACCGACTGTTAGCGAAACAATCTCAGAGAAAGATGGACATATTATACATTCTCAATCTAGGAGACTGGATCGATGGGCAGAACACTTTAGAGACCAGTTCAACTGGCCTTTAGACACACCTCAGTTTCCTACGACATCTAGTCAACCTGAATGGCAAGTTAATGTAGGTTCTCCGACTCTACGAAGCTGAAAAAGCTAGGAGAAATCTGAAGCGAGGGAGAGCAGCAGGTCCTGACAGGTTCACTCCTGAGATTTTCAAGGATGGTGGTTCAGTATTAGCAGTGAGATTAACTGAGGTCTTAGGTAGAATCTGGGAACTGGACGTAATCTCATCTGACTGGTCTCAATCACTGATTGTGCCAGTCTATAAGAAAGGACAAAAGTCCTCTTGTGACAATCACAGAGAAATCAGTTTGACTAATATAGTGTCTAAAATATTAGTTTCAATAATACTTCGACGCCTAACCACAGCTCGTGAAAAGCAGACTAGAGAAAATCAGGCTGGTTTTCAACCTAGACGTGGTTGTATAGACCAGATATTCACACTACGTCAGATCCTAGAACATAGACACACATTCAGACACCCCACAATCGTGGTATTTCTCGACCTTAAGGCAGCATTCGACTCTGTTGATCGTGAGGTTCTACGGCAGTGTTTGTCACTGAAAGGAGTACCAAAGATGTACACTAACCTTATAAAGGCTCTCTACTCGAACACAACTGGCCGAGTGAGGGTTTATGGCGAACTGTCATCAGAATCGATTACCTCAAGTGGTGTTCATCAGGGCTGTCTACTCTCTCAATTTTTGTTTAACTTTATCGTAGACATGCTTAAATTTACAGGGGTTGAACTTCTACCGGGAGATTCACTTAATGACCTAGAATATGTCGATGACATAGTTTTATTTGGTGAAGACGCTGACAAAATGCAGAGTCTTCTGACCACTCTAAGCAGCAATGCAAGCATGTTCGGGATGCGATTCTCTCCCTCGAAATGCAAAATATTGCTTCAGGATTGGGTTACATCGACACCCGAACTAGTGATAGGGAGTGAAGTAGTTGAGTGTGTCGACCGCTTCACTTATCTTGGAAGTCTCATCAGCCCTTGTGGTCTGATGTGTGACGAAATCTCAGCACGGATACAGAAGGCTTGACTAGCTTTTGCCAACTTGCGTCATTTATGGCGTAGACGAGATATCCGTCTACCAACCAAAGGACGTGTTTACTGTGCAGCAGCTCGTTCCATCCTACTTTATTGCAGTAAAATATGGCCAGTAAGAGTAGAGGATATCCGTAGGTTACTAGTATTTGATCATAGGTGTCTTCGAAACATTGCTCGTATATCCTGGGACAATCGAGTAAGTAACACAATTGTTAGGAAACGGGTACTAGGTAAGGATGGCAAACCAATTGATGAAGTAGGGAAACTTCATCAGTTGAGATGGCTGGGACACGTGCTACGTATGCCCAACCACCGACTGCTTCGATGTGCGATGTTCAATGGTATAGGAGTAGGTTGGAAGAAAGCTAGGGGCGGCCAGACCAAAACATGGCACAAATCCATGAAGTCACTGACAAGTGGACTGAGCCATGTTGGTAGGTGTAGACTACCTGGCTGGGATCCGCGAGACGATAGCAACCGATGGTTAGAGACCCTGAATGACAGCTCAAAATCGTTTGCGATGGCGCAGGTGCATCCACTCTTTGTGTTCTCCCAAATTCTAATCTCCTGATTCCTCGTTGTCTCTTCCCAAATCTATTTCACTGGATTATACTCTTTAAATAACATCTCCAAACCCTAATCTTCCCGATTACTGCTTATACACTTACCACCTCTACCATTACGGGATTTTAATCGATAACTGCATCTCTGTGCTAATGTGGTGTGGCAACTCGAACTGATGTACGTACGCACGAAGTCCTACTTTGTTAGTGACTGGACTTAGTCAATAGGATTCGATCCACACTAAGAAGGACCTGACATTGATCAATCAATTGTAAACTCGGGAACTGTTCTATGTAGATCACCAAAAACAGGTGCTGAAATCAATCAAAACTACATGACAGAACGGGGATTTGTCAGAACTTCTTTCGGACAGACAAGTGGTCTGTTTAATGAGTTGCAGTCAAGAAGTACGAAAATAATTTTAGTTTCATGTCAAATGTAATATTTTATACTTTGATAAATACTAGACGCCTACCTTACAGTTTGCATACTACAGACGCATATAAATCGTAACAATAGACATGTAGTTTTCACAAACGAGTAAAAATAATGATAAAATTATTTTCAATTGCAGTATAAACTACCGAACACTTCATACAAGTTCAGTCGACAAGAAACAGATTAGTTATCAGTTAATATCATTACTGAAGCATACAAGGGGTTTATCAGAGAATTTATATCCTAAATTACGGAGTACTTCAGTGATCTATTTATTAATTCACATCTGAAAATTCAATCAAAAACTAAAAAAACATGCTAGAATGTCTCAGATGATATTTTATACATCGATAAAGAAATGTTAACATATAAGGTTTTTGAAGTCATGTTTCGATCAGGAATGTAATCAAAGATATTTATTATCCAGATATAACACAGAGGTGGTACTATAAAATAATCTGACAAATTACCATAACATTGAAGTAAAAAAGAAGTAAAACTGAAGTTTTATGTACAACGCATGGTTTAAGGACACTTCGAAAGACTAAATCAAGGTAGTAGAAAAAGTAGTTATTTTCTAACGAATTGGAGATAAATAAACGAGGTTTGAAATAAACAAGACCAAAATGCCAAATACAAAAATGTTAAGTTATCCAAAATGAAACTCGAAGTGAGCACCTTCAAAGGGATGCATGTGGGAGAATGGAAAACCATTGAAAGGATGACCACCAAACGGGTTCTGAGCTTGCTGTTCAGGATCCAGCGGATCGACTCCATTTTCAAATTGTGTACGTTTCTCTGGATAAATTTAATAATAAACAAAACATGAAATAATTCATTCGCTTGTATTAAAGAAAACCCAATGCTTAATATACAATAAAAGTATTCCTAATCACTATTTCGAAGATGGAAATGTCTTGCAAACGATACGACATCCAAAGACGGAGTCTTGGTTAAGTTACTAACTCAGTGATTTAAAACTAGCATACATACACATACTACGGAAGATCATAGGTCAGCAAAACCTGAGGACAAAAGTACAAATTGGTTACTTAGTTACGTGCCTAGTCCATTTTTACGATATGAAGTGTTTGACATTAGAAAATTATTCAAGAAAACAAATGATTTCAACTCAGGATACATTCATGCAGAAGCATAATACTTCGTCTTTATACTCAAAAATAGGAATAGAAAATAATTCAATTGCTAATTACCTTGAATAGTTATAGGTGCTGGAGAACACAATAATTTGAAAAATACTTGTGTTAATAATAATGATATGAAGAAATAAGTCGCCATTCCGGACTTTAACACATGACAAAGTCCTCCATAATAAAATCAAAGTGCGCTAGAGATACTATGATCCTTACCAGCCGGAAACAAGATGCTGTTGTGAAGTTTGAATTATTAAAGAACTTTAGATTATATCTAGAAATCTTTTTGATGAGTCATTTTTTAAAATAACTACTGGACTTTAATTGAGTGAAGCTCTTAAGGACCGTGGATATTAATTGATGCCTTCCTAATCATAAATAATACATTATTTTTGAGAAGTTGCAATTTTCGGAGCTTTATTTAGGTAAACTCACCATCATCTGTAAGGACCTCCTTGGCTGCAGAAATTAAAACGAACTTTTTCTCGGCTTGCACTTTTTCTTCGCCCTGAAATTTGTCCGGATGATATTCAGCAGCCATTTTTCGATAGGCCTTCAAAATATCCTTTTTAGAAGCTGATTTGGGCACCCCAAGTATTTTATAGTAATCACGACGGTTGCTTGCTTTTAGAAGCTTTTGAGCCTTCTTCATGCCCTCCTTCGCTTTCTGATTATTCGATTCATGTTCTAAAATTTTTTGGTATGTTGAAATGGCTAGATAGCGAAATAAAATGACATAAAAATTTATTGTGAAATATAAGTAGAAAGATGTATACATTATAATTATTGCTAAATAACCGAACGAATACTATAGCATAAAATACGATGGGACGATAGTTCAGCTATTGTTTTATTATAAAAAAGTAGGATTAAGCGTAGATATGCATTGGTTACTACAATATACTTCAGCAAAGTTAAAGGAAACTGTCTAAATGATTATAAACACAATTGTATGTGGGGCAGAAGCAAATGAAAAGCTAAATGTTAAGGTTGAAATAAGTTGCTTATAATTCATATTACTGGGATTAATGAAAAGAGCTGTCACCAAATCAACCTAATTAATATATCTTCGTAACTTGAGATGCAACAAAAATGTAACCTTAGAACGCTCCAAGTAGAAGTGATAAAATGCTTTGTGGATAAGTACACAATGACACTGGAAAACTGGATTACATTTTCACTACCCAGTCAAAACCTATTTATGAAGTACAGATTTAAAAACTCGGCTTTGAGAGATTACCTCTGTGAAGGCCAATGACACCATTCGGTTGTCTCAATTGAATTAGAGAGGAATGAGGTACTGCATCTGAATAAGATGGTTGGTTATGTTATTGTTTTATCAAGCCAAGCATATTACTCATCTTTGAGAGGACTGCTAATAGCAAAATGAGATAACATTGTCGAGATATCGGTTTATCAGTTGGAAGCCGAACGTAAGGTATATCACTTAAACATTGGTCAAACATAATTGTCTAGAAGACTAGATGAAAATCGGATGGTGGTATATCTGAACGAAGAATAAATGAATGATAGATGCTAGGAATCATCTATGGACCATTATTACATATGTTCCTATTGGATTGGTTGGGCCACGTGTTACGTATGCCCGAACACCGATTACCATGACGTGCAATGCTAACCGGTGTTGGCGATGGTTGGAAGAAAGTTAGGGGCGGCCAAACCAAAACGTGGCGTCAGTGCTTTAAGTCACTAACTTCTAGTCTGAACCATGTTGGTAGATGCAGACTACTTGGTTGGGGTCCGCGTGACTATCGTAACCAATGGTTGGAGACTGTGTGACATGGCTCAGAATCTATCACAATGGCGTCGGTGTATACACTATCTGTCTTCCCTTAAACTAAGAGATTAAAATCGCTTTATATCTTTCTTTCTACGAACTAATTCTTTCTTCCTGTACTATATCCTTATTGCAATCTTTCTTCTATATATTGCTACAACTGAATTAACTACTTTTATGAATCCGGTGTTCATCTTGTTGTGTTAATGAGGTATGGCAACTTGGACCGATGTATATATGTGCCTGGTCCTACGTTGTAGCTGACCGACTGACTGACTCTTATTGGATTACTATTAAGTAACTAAGTTATACGCATATTTATATTCCTTTTATCATAAGCTTTCATTTGACCTATTGGATACTGTTATACGATTTACCACTTTTAATTAATTCCCAATTTATCAGTTACGGTCTCCTATACTCACATCCATTTTTGGCTGTTTGACGCATGATTGATGTAGCACAGGGGCAAGGTCACAAGGATGGATATTCTAATAGGTGATTTTGTCACATGACATTTGACGGGCAATAAGACGTAACAGATGGAATTCATAAGAATATAAAAGTGAATTTAAAATAATGACAATCCAGTGACATCTAGACGTTTTGCTTATGGTTTTTACATTTGGATTCTTGCAACTTCTTCAGAGGGATATGGGAATCCTTATTTTAGCAAAATTATACGAATCTCGGGCCTCAATAAGCTGAAACGGTTGATAGAAACATGTATACTTAATAGGTACATTTTCTAAAATGTTTTGTATGTGGCGAGAATATTTCATAGACCAAACTTGCAGTAGGTTAAGAAGTGAACGGTTAGCCTGTGAGATGAATAACTACTAAATTTATTCACTAAATGAACCAAATAATGATGGTTTAATACCACTTAAATCAATAGTCAGAGTAGCTAAAACTGAAATCCCGCTTGATAACCAAATATAAGTCAGCGTATTCGACTTTGGGTAACACCTTTTTGAGTCAATGGTGCTAACCAAAATATAACCAGACCAAAAAATGTGGAATGACTTTTAAAGCTACAGCTTAGTAACTTGAAGTTGTGTTTTATTAGATAAACCACTGCTACATAGATGAATAACTAGAATTAAACACAGTAGTAAGGCATCACTATACATTTCCTAGATTAAGCATGACTAAGTTATCATTTTGGCTTTACCTTTAAACAATTTGAAATGATAATCACGTTCCGGCTGCCCATATCACAGAGGAATACTTCATCTTTGGGGACCTGAAAAGAAGGATTGGTTTCCAGTGGTTCTAAAGATGAGTTTAACGACAGTGCCCAAAGGACAACTGCTGAGGTCCGGTCATACAAGACCTTTTACTGAGTACTTTAAGAGGAGTTAGCCCATTAATTAAAAGACCTTATCGCCGGAGATGGAAAGCAATAAGGTAATGTGAAGTGTAGCACTTTTAAGCCCAACTTTTTCCAGCCTCTTCCCTTATGAGAAGGCATTATCATTCCAGATGATGGTTGTCTACAGTAAACATTTTGCTTCTGTCACTTTCCAGTAGTCAGTAGTATGATTTTACTCTTAAACCTCCACCTGCTGCTTTTAGTTTTACCGCTCACCAATCAACCTGCCTGGGATGATAGGACTCAAGTCAACTAGTGTTCCGGAAAAAGACAGCTCGGTTGGACAGGTAAGCCCGACCGCCACGCTAAAGGAGCAGATACCGTCAGGGTCAAGAATTTAAATTAATGGGTTATAGGGTACAATTCTATCTTGTTAACGACAATGCATCGGGGATATGGGATTACTAGCTGTCGATTCAGAAAATTACCAAATATGGGTGGGACAACGGTTGTAACTTGAAATACATAAAACAAATTGCTTGTGCAAAATCTTACCATCCTGAAAACGGTCAGCATTTATATAAGCTTCAGCTTGATAAAGTTGGAATTCAGTACTTTCAGGATAATGTTGAACAACAGATTCACAATACGAGACTCCATCAGCACTTTTAGCCTAAGATAGTTAATCACAAACACAAATACTGTAGAGGTAAAATACAATAATCTGTGATATACATATACACTTCAATTTTTTTGCTTATCAGAACAAGCCATAAAAATAAACTGTATATATTGCGGGTTATACACTAGATTAAGTGTAACCCGACAAACAAAAAATAGATAATCGTCGAAAATATATGCAGTGAAACATGTTAAAATGCAAATAATTGAGAGACTTTACGAGAAAACTGGGATATTTAGATAAGAAAACATTAATTATATGAACGAGTGCTATATGCTTTTATAAGTCCTGGTTTCCATGTATTGATAGTAGTTTACAACAAACATCTTAGAGACATTTAAACTTGTCTTTACGATAGATTTTCAAGTAATCGTATTGCGAGTATAAATCGCATACTTGATGCGGAGATGTACGTCAGAGGTCTCAAAATACAGGGGGTTCAAGTTTAACCGCGGTTGTTAACCTAATGAGTTCGTCAGGGTTGCTTATTATGATGACCCGATTGACTAACACTGATTGCAAGACTTATTCCTTAGCATCCCAATATGCTAGAAAAGTCATTTGAAGAAGGAATGTGGGGTTTTTTCACGAATAACCAGCACATTCAGTGAAGCAGTTTTCGTGTATAAGGGGACAGGTTAGAAAAAATGGCCACGAAAATAACACCGGACACGAATTATCAGTATCGACTGTCAAGTTGAAGTGCGTAGTCAGCGTAACAAAAACAACTAATAGTGAGAAAGTAGTAGGTGGTCGGCCTTAAGCAGTTGTCTCTATGGTCACCCTCCCAGGTCATTGAGACTAGCACAGCCCACTATCCGTGTATCCGGACTTGTTAGTGACTTCTTATGGTTTTACAATTGTAGAGGTAATGTTCATTTTAAAGCCTGAACAAGTACCTGTGAAATAGACTTCAGTCGACCGTTGCTTGTACGCACTCACACTGAACAGAACTGTGAGAAATCGATAACCTAAAAATGGATTTCGGCTTGTTTTCAATTTTTACCTACACTCTAATCTAGTGTAGTCCCGATAAAAAGATGTCCTCACAAAGAACTTTCAAATTTCCTTGAAAAACCCGAGTTCAGATGTAGTCATTGTAACAGGTGTCTCTTGACATTCAAGTGAACAAATAACAACGATCTCTTGTAGCAACTAAGTTCAGGGAATTGTTCAATACCAACCAGTTAGTTATCAACTTACCGTAATTAACATACGATATAGCATAAATATGCATCGAGACAAGTTGCTACACCATCTTAACATAGAGATGGAATCAGTAAGGTAGGATATACAGGAGTCTAAATAGTAGTACTACCAATCATAATAAATGATTAATTGATTTACTTTTGTACTAATTAGAGACTTCATTTATTTACCTAGTGCTTGACATCTGGTCCCAGCATTGCTTACTTTGTCATTCTACAGTATATTAACAACGCTTAGAAAACACTATTAGATGCTGATAGCCAACGGAAGTCCTCTACTTCGAAAGACGTTTCAGCCATGAAGTAAAATAGAAGATTGGTGAACAGCATGTTCGTCCCTTGGCTTGTAAATGGATGTCTGGGGTACGCCACATATGCCAAACTAGTTAGCCGCTAACAAATTATAGTTGGTTTTTGGGAAACAAAACTACATTATCTACCAATGAGTGTAAAATCGGGATCAACTATTGGAAAGTTGGACGAAAACAGTGTAAGTTCTACGAGCACATGTATTAACAAATTAAACAAGAGTGGGAAAAGCATTTATACTAAGTCCCAGTCCTAAATATATTGAAAGACATTGCTGGTCGAAAAATAAAGACAAGTAAACTACATCGCTATTATTCATCGTTGGAAAATTAAACCTCCTGAAACACACGTTTGGATTCAGACTACACATTCGTGATTTCTCCACACACTAATCGATGCACAAATATGCCAACAATGAAATGGAGGGATTCGAACAGTAAGCACTCGTTAAAGAATTAATTGACTATGAAAGTCTGTTTAAAGAAACCCTGACATCTGCAGTAAAACTGAAGTGGTATTAATCTTAACCAGAACGTCATTATAAGGTGCTCAGATATACCTCAACGAACTTTCTGAAGAGCGTAAATAAGACAAAAAGTACCGTGGACATATTATGCATCCCTGAGTCAATGCTGTATACCAAGTACCACATATTCAGCATACTGAACCAATGTATTTTATTCTAGTGTATGATCATTAGCCAACTTGTTGTGGTGACCTTTTAGAATTAAATTTCAGTAAAGTATGTGCTTTCCAACTGGATCTTAAAAGCTGGCATATAGGCAAAAACCAAATGAGAATTGATGAGCTTTGCCACGACCTGGAGAAGTGCGTGAACAAATTCTAGAATAAAGTCGTTAGCTACAGATAACAGATAAGGAATTAACATCGTTAGCTAAACTAAGGAGTAAAATGTGACGATTAAGGAAACTCACCAGGAAGGACATTTACTCGCCTAGAGGTAATTGAAACGTCTTGATTATTAGAGAGATTACCTAAAAACTCCTTGTAGATGCTCATTATCGAGAGAATTTATGTTTAAAAGTGACATTCAATCTCTGACCTATGTTAAGGCACTGATTCAGATCCATCCTAAAATATTTTGTGCCGATGCAAGTAGCGCGAATTAGACATCGTTACACTGACACTGATTGACATTAGTTCTTAAGGTAGTTATAAATAATACCTGATTAGTCTTGTTTAACTTTTATGGGAAATATATATTGAGAAAACCAAATAAAGCAACAGAGAGCGAGGGACCTTGTGACAGATGAGAGAAGTATTGGCCAGTTTCATCGCTGCAAGTAACTACGCGCAAGATAACCACCAGGTTTCCCAAACCGAAGTGGGAGAATCGAAATCCCAGTCTAAGACTTAATGTCCGACAGCTGAACGCCTTAACGGTTTCGTTACCGCTTGAATATATTTCAAGAAAAAAGATACGTAGCGAGTTAGAAACCATAAGGAAATGTATACACAGGATGGTAAGCCATGTCTAGATTGTGAGTAGACTGGATTGGCATGAAGCATTTTGTAAAATCGAACATTAGACATATTGGTAACAAGTTAAGCATCTTTTAAATTTATAAGACCTAGAGATCGCATATGAACTCACTTTTGCATGACAGTGACAGAGGCTAATGTTTGCTTGATTAGCATATTCTGGATTTGAAGACTCGAACTTGACTATCTCTGATGCTTTCTTGATGCAATCAGAGTACCTTTCGGCTTCCAAAGCCTCTTGCGTGGCTGTTATAGCCTTGGCAACCTTATTTACTTTTTTGTAGAGACTCAAACAGGCTTTATCATCTTGATCAAGCCTGAGACATTCTCGAAGCTCATTGACAGCCTGCACTGCAAACCCGGTGTCATACATTATTTGACTAATTCTCAGTAATCCCTCGCGGTTATCATTGGTCAGATGAACGCCAAATCTCATTTCTTGCAAACCCTGAGGACAATAATTAAGCACAAATATTACCTTTTGCACGTCTCCTAAGCTTAAGTAACACCTTGCTCTCAATTCACGTAGCTCCTCAGCATAGTCGACTGATTCCACTAATTTGTCCAATAACGTAAGAGCTTCTCTGTATTCACTGTTCCCGAACAATTTACGAGCATCTTCCCACTGATTTTGCAGTTTATGTATTTCAGATATTTTGGCGCTTGCGCCAGTATCATGATTTAGCTATGCAATAAATTTTTGTAGTTGAAAACAGTACCACACTCTCATAATCTTCTATGGCTTCTGTCAGCTTCCCCATTCTTAGCTTCACATACGCCCGATGTTTTCTTGCCTGTGAATTAATCAAGGTAACTTATGACTAACAGGAATGAAATCTGGATTTAGCTCCAAAGCTCTATTAAAATCCAAAAGAGACATCCTACAATTAGATAGTGCGATGTATGCTGTGCCCCTTTTGTAGTGGGCCATATAACTATCAGGACTTTTCCCTAAAAAATTACAAGTACTTTCGACATACCGATGGCATCACTGTACAATAACAGAGCTTCCTCAAATTTACCGGATGCTAAAAGTCTAGTCCCTTTCTCCAGTATATCTTCCACACTACCATTAACTGATAGGGTTACTAAACAACTAAAGTTAGGAATAAACATTAAAATACCTATAGTGTAAAAACATGTTATCGTAAAAAAATAATAGAAGGGCATCCGAACTTTGTAACACATCCCAAGAACGCGGTCACTAATCTGTGTGGAGTAGTCTGATTGGATGGATTCATAATAATAAACCGGAGAAAACAATGACCAATATTCAACATCGAAATCTATAAACCTTCGTAAGGACTACGTTTTCTGAAATATTATACTGATTATTACGCAACTCTCCAGCATAAAATATTTCTGTGCTTAAATTCAGCCTATAAAATACTATCATTTTACTTCGATATGCCTCTTTCAGCATGACTCATAACTCTAGTTTCAGTTTCAGTTTCAGTTTGGGAAGGACAGGAGGCCTGATGGCCTGTGTTAGTCCTGGCAATGGTGGTCTCTCAGTTGATCCAACTTTATTTTGAAAGATTCGACGGATGGAGCCTCAATCACGTGCTGAGGTAATGAGTTCCACTCGTTGATGATTCGATGGGAATGTCGATAGTCAGATGACAAGTAATTTGTTCTTGTCTTGTGAACTTTTTTGGAGTGTCCTCGTAAATTCTCTGTTTTGGAAGACAAGAAAAATGAGGGCATATCAAGTGCAAATTTGGCACTAAGCAATTTGAAAACTGTAATCAAGTCGCCTCTAGTTCTGCGATATGACAACGGGAAAAGGTTCAGCTTGGCCAGTCGAGGTTCATACGGAAACTTCGCTACTCCGGGAATCAGCCTAGTTGTTGTTCTCTGAACCTTTTCCAGAAGCTCACTGTCTTTTTTAGGCAGGGACTGGCCGCTTGTATGCAGTACTCAAGTTTAGGACGTACGAACACTGTATACAAAGTCAAAAACGTCTTAGCGTCGACATGACTAAAAGCCCTACGTATTGACCATAACGTTCTAAAACCTTTGGGGGCTATTGCACGGCAGTGTGCAGTAGTCTTTAAGTCTTGGCTAACGATGACTCCCAAGTCACTATATGTCTGGATGACAGGTAGCTCAGTGTTATTCATCGTGTATGTATCTGTACCTTGATGACCGATATGCATCACAACACACTTGGAAGTATTTATCGGCAACTGCCATGTTTGAGACCATTCAGATAATTTCTTCATGTCATTTTGGAGTTCAAAGCTATCACCCTTACATCGTATCGTTCTCCATATCTTGACATCGTCAGCATATAGCAAGACCGATGATGATAGGAGACAAGGAAGGTCATTTACATACAAGAGGAATAGCACTGGCCCCAAAACTGTACCCTGGTGCACTCCGCTAAACACAGTTCCCCGGCTAGATAACTTTGAGTTCACCCGTACTCTTTGTTGGCGCCCAACTAGGAAGTCTTTTATCTACATTAATAGATTGTCTCCAATTCTAACATTCCTTAGCTTATATAACAGCCGGTTGTGCGGAACCTTGTCAAAAGCTTTGCTGAAATCAATGAAGGCCACGTCTTCACATAACTTTTGGTCTTAAAGAGCTCACCATCTTTCACGAGCCACTAATAAGTTAGTGAGACAAGAGTAACCTATTCTGAAACCGTGCTGCTTCTCCGAATGGATCCGGTTTTCATCGAGATACTTAAACAGCTCCTTCCGAATAATCTTTTCTAAGATTTCAACAACCACACTAGTTAGGCTAACGGGGCGGTAATTCTCAGGTTTGTGTTTCGTACCTGTTTTGAAGACAGGACTTACTATGGCGTTTTTCCTGTCTTTGGGTAAACGACCCTGCGTTACGGATAGGTTAAAGCATATACTTAAAGGGTTCGCAACGAAGTTAGATAATTCCTTCAGTAGCCTAGGATGTAATTCATCGGGCCCCGTGGATTTACCTATATCAAGCTTATTTAGTAGATCAAAGACATAGAGTTCTTTAACGGTCGCGCTATCCAGTGTATGTGTGGGGGGATCTGTATGCGCTGATGGGAAGGGTGCTCCTACGGTGTATACATTGCTGAATTAGTTTGAGAACACTTGAGCCTTCCCAAAGTCGTCCTCCACTAGTGACGCAACAGTACTGTCTCCCCAGAGAGCAGGAATATTTCCTCTTCTCTTTGTCCTTTGGTTTATATAAGAATACAAGCGTTTAGGACATTCTATGGATTCCTTAACAATCTTTTCTTCGTACAACTTTCTAGACTTACGGAGGGTCGAGGCACAGGTATTCCAAGCTTATCGGTACTGGGATTTAGTTTCATCAGTCCCCAGTAACCTAAATCTATCCCACATATTTCTTCTCTTACGTAGAAGGATGCGAAACTCCCTACCGAACTATGGTGGGGAGTTTCTCGGCCCCCTTGATATAGTCCAAGGGATGTGGGGTGTGGTAACTTTTAAGTATGAATTTCGAAATGCGTCCCAGGCCGTTTTAACTGAGGACTCTAGGTCTATTGTCCAAACTACTAACGATGCTGAGTGCATGATACCTGGTATGTTTGCTTTCCAGACGACAAAAATAATTGAGAGAACGGTAAAAACGGTACTCTAGTCGAATACTTTAACTGAAATGAATTCAATTAAAGTGAAAACTGTAGTCTTGATACGTAATAAACGATCAAAACAATGAAACTTACTCAGCGAGGAAAAATACCACTGTCCTTTTTAAATATTGTCCTTCGTACGCTTACTACAGTTATGTCGTTATAAAAGGGTTACGATTAAAAACTCCAGAAATCGGATGGTTAACGAATGAAAAACCCTGAAATGTAGTGGGGTTCTGTAACACTTCGCAGTTGTTTTTACTTTGATAATTCCCAGCTGTTTCGTAACGACTTTTTTGACACAGTTGATGAGAGGGTTGTAGTTTACATATCTACGGACCTACTTCTTTGAAAGTTCACGAACTTTTATCCCCGCGACAAGTCATCTGGATGTTTTGTGATGCAACAAGAAGGGTATTCGCGACTCTTCTCTGATAGGTCTACTTAATAGACAATTGGGTATTTCAGCTTCTCCAGAAATTTTCATTTCTTTGAACTACCAGAGGAGCCCCCTAAGTAAATTCTTACACGTACTACATTTATGTGGCTTCAAAGTTTCTAATCTCTTCGCCTTTGGTCATAACTGTGAAGTGACCTACTTTAATCAAGAGAATGAGATTACTGTAGTGGAAACAATTATTATTATAACCAATTTTACGAGGGATTGCTTTTCCGTACATGTTTGTTTAACTATACAAGAATACATACATTCTTCCGTTGATTGTGACGTCAGCAACCACATTTGTAACCTGGCACGATCTCGGTATTCTTTCGATACCACGAGATCGCCAACGAATACATCTCGACTACAGCCATCAACTGATATCTGACCTACGGAGGATATTATCGGTAAACTGGCCCGTAGTTCTCCTGTAGTGGTGATCATAGTCAACCGCAGCTCGACACTACACTACAACTGGAAACTGAATACTGATTTTTAAAATTTGATGAAAATTTATATTCCTTGCTGACAGCCCGAACTGACAGTCATTTAATCTAAAATACATTCTCGCTAATAAAGCTTCTATTCATATGTCGACTTCGACAAGGCGATCATCTCTGATAGTTCATTTCATCCACAAATGCATTATCAGTCAAATGTTCTGTTTTGAAAAAAATCCTTAAGCCAGAACTCGATGTTCTTCGCACTGAAAAACACCCCAGCAGAGTAAACACGTATCCACACATGTAGATGAACGATAGATCTTTTTAAGTATATTTTTAACGAGATCGTCGATCGAGATTATTTCCTTTATCCTCTAGGTACACCTAACAAGATTGTAGTCACAAATAAACAAATATCTTGAGACAAATAAGCTCTTTCTGAATTAATCAAAGACTCCCGGTACAATTAGTTACCACGCAGAAAATGTGCAGCATAAGGGAAGTGACTGTACCCGTGGTCTGGTCTCACGAGGATCCTAGGGTGGCAGTCAGTCATGATCTTAAGACCACGGCCCATTGCCGGGAAATTAAAGCTAAGGGGTTTAGAAACCTATTGGATTTAAGACAGACATCCACTAAGTTTGATACTGCCATGTTCACTACAGTATACACAATCTTAGTGAGAACTGAGCTTGAGAACTGCGCTTAGGCTGCAAGCCTCTGTTTAAAAGATGACTCGGATATCCTGGTAAACGTACAGAGGGCAGCTACCCGTGCAATTCCAGAACTCCGGGGTTTACCATACAAAGAGCGGCTTGAAAAGCTGGACCTCCTTACCCTGTCCTACTGCAGAATAAGAGGCGATTTGATTTTGATGTTAATTATACTAAAGAATGATTTTGGACCTAACATATTTTCTCTTTTTCTTCCCACTAGATCTAGACATCTCAGAGGACATAGCAGGTGAGTAGAAAAGCCTAGATCGGATAAAATACATTCGATTGACTCATACACAACATCGCACTTCGAAATTTTCCATTATTATTATTATTATTATTATTATTATTATTATTAGCTTTATTCAATATTATATTATTGGTACATTATCGAATTCTCAGCACAAAGTATTTCAACAAGTTTCCGTTTCTTTCTTCTTGGTCGGTCCTCGCGATAGATACTGAGTGGTCGCCAGCTAGATGTTATCAATCCAATAAATGAACATGGGAACGATGTACATTCTTTTCGTTGTATATTGCCAGCAACCATATTCTCTCTTTTTGAGCTTTTTGTAACTTTGATAACGAAAGGTTTTACATTTTTCAGAAACGCAGCAGTATAGGTTGTGCGATTAATAGACATAATGATATATTAAAACAAACAAAAATAGAAAAACTTGTTGAAATATTTAGATGGCAGGAACAGGTAGCCCAGATGCTCAAGCAGGCCGCCGATATCGAATCGCCCGGAGAATGTGTGTTGGTCAATCGGTGACAATTCAATACTTCTTTAAATAATACCTTCGACAAGGTTCCACACAACCTTTTTCTTCTAAAACTTTCGCCACATTGCGTAAGAGATCCCCTTTAATCTTTGTCCAAATATTTCTCAACAGAACGTGACAAAACCGTTCACTTTGAATCTTGCTACTCCGGACCTAGGAATATAGCCTTTCGGGCTACATAGGGAAGTCTTATTGGACCATTACCCT